GAAGGAAGGAAGGAAGGAAGGAAGGAAGGAAGGGAAGGATAAGAGAGTAAGAAGGGAAGAAAGATGTCTTCAGCTGGACTCCAATGAGTCTCCTCTGCCATTAATTTCAATTTTTAAAAACCACACAAAGTCCTAGTTCTACTGAAGTTGAAGGGATTTAAGTTAGTCATGGTTAACTCATTCCACTGATTTCACCGATTTTAAATGATTTATTCTGGTGACCATGGGACTATGCTCTTACAATTGATTACTATAGATCTCTACACAGAAGTAAATCCCATTGTATTCAGTCTGATTTATTCTCAGATCAGTAGGCGCAGGACTGCAGCCCAATGGACTAGTCTTCCCTGAAGACAGAAAGGAGTCACCTTTCACCACCGCATCATTGTAGTGCAACCCCAAAGGACTATTTGATTTAGCCTAGCTAGTGAGGAACTGCTTAGGAAGAATCTGAGCTTGTAAAGATTCATTTTTGGACATCCCCTGAGCTAACTGGCAACCTTCAGGCGCTGTGGAGGATGCTCCTGTGCACATCTAGGGAGAAGCAAATGAAGCATTTGCTTCAAATGTGCAAATCCGAGGGATGCAGAGACCATGTATAGTATTCGCCATTAAAATAGTGTTTGCTATTATCTGTGTTTTTCAGCATCTATGGGAGTGAGGGGAGGCATTGGAATGATCCCCCATGGATGTGGGAGTCCTACTGTACACCATGCTGTTAGACACAAGGCATGATTTATGAGTACTGTTTGATAGGCCCTTACCTGGAGAAGCTCACCATGCTTAGATGGGGCTAGCTAGACCTTCACCGCTCCATCATTGCTTTCTACGAAGAGAAAGGAGCAAAGGTCAGGAGCATAGAGACCAGACCATGAAATTTTATATTCTTGCGCCAGGCACATTAGTTAGCTACAGAAGCTGCTGCTGTGTTGCCAGTGTTCTTAGCCTTAGGCAGCAAAAAGTCTTGGCCGGGCCCTGCTAAATGGGTGTCAGACCCATGTATGACCATCAGAAAGGCCTCTCCAGTTACAAAATAATTAGAATGGTAGGCTGATATACAATTACAGTACTGTATAGTATAGGAAGAGTTACTTTTAAATACTAGAAAAATATTAACCTAATTAATAATTAGAATTACAAAATACTGTATAGGTCTGGATTTGGATTTTCCTTATATATTGTATATATTCTCGTTTGTTATCTGGAACTATTCTTAGAAGGGATTATTTAGAACTATTATGAAAGAAGAAAATAATAAAAAATTAATAAAAAAGAAACGTCTCTCCAGTGACTCCAGTCCCACAGCCTGATTCCATGTTGTACAGGGCTTTATAGACTTAATTTACAAAACTTTAGGCCTAGCCTCCTAGCAAATATAGTCAGGGCAGCTCCTTCACCAAAAGTGCTAAGTAATGGCAAGTGGCAAGTGGCAATGGTCATCAAATCACCAAAAGTGCTAAGTAATGGCAAGTGGCAATGGCCATCAAGAGGCAGCTTCACCTTCCAGACCCAACTTAACAGCTAGCCCATAAAAAGGGCATCATGGCAATTCAGTCTAGAGGGCACTACGTGCTTACACCACCACACCCAAGGTTAAGAACCACTGGTCTAGAGGGCACTATGTGCTCACACCACCACGGACAAACTGTCCAAAATGGCTGGTGGACACCAGGAAGGTGAAACCAGTGTTCATGAGAACATTTTAGCAAGTCATGCTGGTGTGAGGAAATGCTGCACCTGCAGAGTTCATTGGATGACACAACTGTTAAAAATGCAAGTATTCACTCCTTCTTCGTATCAGCCATTCCTGTGAAGGTATTTTAGAGGGAGAGGCTTTGTACTCATTGGCCAGAGGAATTCCTAGTTTTGCAATTTCTGAGTGGCAAATGGGAGTTTTATTTTAGTGCTATGTTACTTTCCTATACCAAATTCCTCAAGTTATGCTTCAAAATTACGATCCCTTTGAGGCTGCCAAGGCATCAGGCTCGCCAGCTGTTTAGGTTCATAAGTAACCTGTTCAAAGTAAACCAGATAGACAAATCCCTGTGCTTGTATTTGTGAAACAAAAATGATGCTCATGTGTGCTTTGAGCAGCATATTAGCTACAACAAGAACTCAGTCAGCCCACAAACATACGTCCTAGAATTTGCTTGGCTTAGTTCCTCTAGTCCAACATTTCAGAATGATGTGAGTAAGTTATGTGAGAAAAATCACTTTAAAAAACCTCAAAAGCCTCTGCCAGTGGAGCAAAAACCAACAAATCCCCATGAACAAAAGACTAGGCGTACTCCCTATTAGCTGTATGTCATGTAGTTTATGGAAAATACATCAAGTTAAGTGATGTCAACTCCAGCAGAAACCATGGGAGAAACTGCAGTGCGGTTGCATCCCAAGACAAAGAAATTAAAACAATCAACTTTAGAAGCAATCAATTGAATCAGAACCAAGAAAAACAAAGGGCAGTCTTTGCCTGGATTAAAATCACGTTTCATGTACTACTTGCATGCCACGGACATGCTTGAGTAAACAGGACAGCGGCAAGAGGCCCTGCCTAGCTTCCTGTGACAGGAAGATCTATAACCGAGCAACAACCATAAGGAAAGTTCTCTTTCAGGGCACTACTGTCAGGAGCATCTCTGAAGGTGGCAGAGCCGAGAGGAAAGCCTCTCACAAAGACCATCAAGTCAATGCACGCGTGCATAGGAGAACATGGTAGCCTGGATCCAAGTTGTTACATAATAACCATACTTTGAATTGTGCCTAAAAACTGAGAAGTAGCCAGTGAAGCTGTCATAACTAGGAATTTATCTGTTTCCTATAACGGTCTGTTTTGGTCATTTGCTGCATTTTGGATCAACTTAAGTTTCCAGCTACTTTCCCAGCTACTTTTGTGGAGTGTGTAGGTGTATGTGTGTCAAGTGACTTCCAATTTGCAGCAATTCTTTGGATTAAAGTAGGAAATTATTGTAGGAACCCCCTTATCCATGAGATGTTAGAAGAAATATTAGAAAAATCCTAGAAATATCTTTTTTTAAAGATGAAGTCATCAGAACTGGCCACTAGAGGGATCCAGAGATCATGCTATGTACCGCATTCCTTGTTAAATTAGCTAACAAGGAACGTACAGTACTCAACTCCCAAGCAAACTACATAAGAGCACAGAGTGCTGTCCTCTGAAGATGCCGGTCACAGAGACTGGCGAAAAGTTAGGAAGAACAATCTTCAGAACACGGCCAAAGAGCCCAAAAAACCCACAACAACCAAAATAGCTTTCGTTATAATCTATGTTTCTCACTAACCGCAGGGGTGGGCGGGCTCAGAACCGATCCTCGTGGATATTCGCAAACTACATAAGAGCACAGAGTGCTGTCCTCTGAAGATGCCGGTCACAGAGACTGGCGAAAAGTTAGGAAGAACAATCTTCAGAACACGGCCAAAGAGCCCAAAAAACCCACAACAACCAAAATAGCTTTCGTTATAATCTATGTTTCTCACTAACCGCAGGGGTGGGCGGGCTCAGAACCGACTCTCGTGGATATTCGAGTCTTACTGCACTTCTAAAATATCCTATCATTTTCAAACCCTGCTGAGATCTTGCAAACGAAAAGGACATGGATACCTTTCTTGAGCCAAAACAAAACAGAACAAGACAAAAGCACGCACCAATCCCTCTCATACTAGTTCTTCCTCTTTTCCTGCTACCTTTGCTTTTTCTTAACATTATTGTAATTTCCAGTGAGCCTTGCCTTCTTAGGGTGTTTTCAAAGTATCAAATCCTCAGTTTATTTCTTTTTGTTTCTAGAGAGAATTTGATCTGATTTCATTTGATCTAGGACCTACTAGTTGGTCTCGTTGGGTTCTGATGAAAATTGCGTGTGGTCAAGTCAATTCCAGCTTATGGCAATGCTTTTCTAGGTATGGAATGAGGCGGTTTACCATTAGTGTATTGCCGCCTTCTGGGATGTTCTAGGATTGCGCAGTTTCCCCAAGGCTAAGCAGGCTGGCCATTCTTGCTGGAGGCACAGGAGGCCATCGAACTCCTCCTGACCACCAGCTGCACAGACAGGTCCCCAACTCACTGAGCTATCTAGCCCGCTGGTAGTGGCTCCAACTCCATGGATCCAGCTTCTGGAGGAGCTCCGCCTTGCCCCCTCCCTGTCGACATTTAGGAAGCAATAAAAGACCTTCCTTTTTAGGGAGGCTTTCCACACCGACCCCAGCTGACCATCTCCCCTCCCCCCTACACACACTCTTTTTTCTTTCCCCCTCCTCCGCTCCCCTCTCTTCTTTTCCTCCGCCTGCTCCTGGTTTATATGATTAGTCAGTGCCACCTGCTTTCCTTTCCTTTCCTTTTTTAGGGTTATTGTTGCTGTTTTCAGTGTTTCTATTTTTTTATTTTCTAGTCTATGTGTTCTAACCCGTCCAGAATACTGCTGTGACCCTAATAGGAGTGGAATACAAACTGAATGAATGAATGAATGAATGAATGAATGAATGAATGAATGAATGAATGAATGAATGGTGGTTTTCTCAGTTCGACACCCCCCCACACACACACACACATACACACTGAGCCCTGGCTTTCCACGGCCAAGCAGAGATTTTTTTGGACCTTGTAGGTCCTGTTGACCCTTACAGCGCACTGGCTAAGCCGGTCAGTCTGTGGCCTGGGTGAAATCTCAGCCTCCTCTCGGGCTAAGGGATGGTTTGGGTCCGTTAAACTCTCTGCACGTGGGCAGAGGCACCGCCACGGCTGCGCCTCGCCTGGGCAGAAGGAGCGTCTTGGGACGAGACGGGCGCTGCCGAACCCGCCCGGAGCGCTCGCTCCCTTCGCCTTGATTCGGATCCAGATTGATATATTGCGATAACCTATGTTTTTAACTGTCTTTATGATATTTTGTTGTAAACCGCCCAGAGTAGGCGCAGTCTAAATGGGCGGGATATAAATGCAATAAATCGGAGCGCTGACTCAGGCTCGCCAGAGCCACGAGCGCCGGGCGGCCACCCTGCGGCCAGACAGAAGCCGGAGCGAGGGGAGCTCGAAGTTGAGCTTTGCGCTGCCAAGGGCCGGCGGACTCCGCTTCCCTTCGCCGCTCGCGCTCTGCAGCCCGCCGGGCGCCCTTCCGATCCTGGCTCGCCTGAGTGGCGAGAGAGACCTCGGGGCGCCATGATCTCGGGCGCCGGGCTGCTGCTGTTGCTGCTGCTCCTGGTGGCGCTGGCGGTGCTAGCCACTCGCTTCGGGAGGTGGCGGTGAGTGGACGCGGGAGGCGGCTGAGGTTTCTTTTTTTCCCTGCCACCTGTCCCGCAGGGCAAGTCCTTGAGTTGGCGTGGGGAGGGGGCGGGCGGGGGGAGAGGCTCAGGCGACACAAATATTGGGCGTACGGTTTGGTCTTCTTTGGCGACCCTTGCAGGGTTTTCGAGTCATGGGAGATGCTTGGAGGAAGTTGGCTTGCCCTTGCCGCTTCTCGTTCCAGGGCCAGCAGGGATTTGAACTCAGAGTCCGGGGCTGACACCCCCACCCCCACATACACACAACGCCACACGGGCTGGCAGCACATTTTAGAACTTGACAAAGTGACTTTTGGACACCGTTCTCCGGAGGGAAATAGCATGGAGAAGTGGGCTTCAGTCAGCGAAAGCTTACACCAAATAAAACTCGTATGGCTTTAAGATGCCACAAAACTCTTTGGCCAAGTGTCTTACTGCTGGTTCCAAAGAGAGAGTGCGCCCGGTGTCAGAGTACATGTGCAAGTCCCATTGATTTAGGAAGAGCAACGAATAATCAAGTAAAGCGGGGCTACCTGGATAGAGGACAAATTTTCTGTGGCTGGAGAAATTACATCAATGCAGCACTTATGTGCATGCAATTTATGCCCCACCTCGTGTACAAAAGAAGATCTAGCAAACAGCCAAGATAACTCTATTGAAGTAAGTTGATTCTGGTCAAAAATAATCTAATTATCTTGACATTTTAATTTCTTTTAATTTTACCTGTACTTCACATATCCATAATTTTAGATCATGCAATGCTCTGAGATCAATAAAGAAAGGAAGATTGAATTAGTGGATCCATTCTAGCTGGAACAGACAGACAGACAGACAGATAGATTTTGTTATGATCAACATCCCAAATACATATACGTATAAAAATTCAATTGTTATGTGCTTTCAAGTCAGACCTGAGTTATAGCAGCCCTAATAGAGCTTTTGAGGCAAGATAGATAGATAGATAGATAGATAGATAGATAGATAGATAGATAGATTAGATTTTGTTATGATCAGTTATCAACATCCCAAATACATATATATAAATTCAGTTGTTATGTGCTTTCAAGTCAGACCTGAGTTATAGCAGCCCTAATAGAGCTTTTGAGGCAAGTGACATATTTAAGGAGTTGTTTTGCCAGTTTCACACCCCTAGTGAGTTTCTGTGTGTGAGAAGAGATTTCAACCCAGGCCTCATGAGTGCTAGTCCATCACTCTACTACACCACACTGGGTATCAGGTGGGACTAGCAATATGATATTGGCCTTCATCAGGATTCCTCAAAAGTCTACCTCTTCGTCAGACTTTTGCATTTTGCAGGAAATGTGGGATACGTACACAGGCGCACCAAGGATTTAGCCAGGAATATTTTTTTTCTGTTGATGCATGGTCTCTCCAAATCATTTTCAGTTCTTCATATTGTTAAAATAGTTCAAGCCAGGCATGGAAAGCTATTCAGGTACTTTTTCCTCTTGGATATCAGTGTGAAAATTCTTGGTAGGTGTACACTGGAAGAGATTTAGATAAGGGCATCTCTTTTCACTGCAGATGTGGGACTTATTTATTTATTCGTATTTTTTTAATTTAATGCATTTTAATCTCTCTCCTCAATAAGCATTGCAGGCAATTTAGAAGAAAATGATAAAATAACAATAAAATAGAACAATTTCAAATACGTTTGTCTGTATGCAACACACACACACAGAGACTGTTATTATTTGTACATATTCAAGAAATACTGAAGTGTTCATCTATTGCAATGTTAACAGCTAAGAGTTATGAGGTTCTGTGAGAATTTTTTAAATTATTTTTTTGTATTGTCTTGGCTAGCTTCCTGGACTAGAAGGCAGACATCTGGTAAAAACTTTTTTTTCCTAACTAAGTTTTAGTGATGACTTCTGTTTCTCAGTTTTAAATATTTCCTCTGTTTTACTGTAATGCAAATGGTTAAATGGTTTTGTTTTATGTATCTCGTCTTTTTTATTTCACAATCTACTTTGTTCTACGATATAGTTCTCTTGCAATATGTTTCTCACACTTTTTCTAATTCTTTCAAGATAAAAACAAAAAAATTTAATGCCCTTAGGACAATCTCCTGCAAAAAAAATCTCTTTCTGCTGAAATTGGGCCACTGACTTCAATGGGGTTTCCACCTATGTAAGTGTTTACATGATTACAGTATAAAATTGCAGTCTGATAGCAGTTTGCCTGAAAGCAAGTTTCAGTCAATTGAATGAGAATTTTTTTTCTGAGTAGCTTGTTTTCTAAAACATTAATGAAAATGATAAAAGGCCACAGCACAGATTATATGCTATTAAAAGGGCATGAGAAAGTGTGCATAATTTGAATTGCTTTTCCAAAAAGGGAAGGGGGGATGCATAGTGGCTTTTATATCAGTTATAAGTAAATAATAAGCAATAATAAAAGTTAAACATCAAGGAAGCCTAGTCTTTGTTGCCACCATGATCCAACATGGGAATTTCACTTTGATACTGAGACGAGCTGTTATTGTCCTGTTCCATGGCCAAACAAATAGGTTGGGTTTTTCATATTGTGTGTGTTGGGAAGATGTTGACTTTGGCTTAGAAACTTTCTGTCACTGTAACTTAATTGTGCTTAAGGAAGCGGTCGGAGCTAACAGGAAACATGGCTAGCAGTTGACATTGGCAAAGTTGGGTGTTGGTTGGCCCTACAAGGCCAACAAAGGGGCTAAGCTCATTTTAAACAAATTGGGGGCCCAAAACAGTGTATAAAAGAATGATCAAGTCTATGCATTCTGGCTGTTATAGATTTGTAAAGTAAATAAGCTGTTGGAAAATTTAGGTACTTGAGGAAGATGATGATGTTCAGGAACAAACACCATAAGATATGGGAAATCAGTGTTATTATTTGTCAATAGACAGATACACCCAAATTTGCCAATGCCAAATCAGATCAGCCATTGTGATTTACCTACAGGTGTGGTGTAGTGGAGGAGTGGTGAACCAGGACTCAGGAGTCAGAACACCTGGATTCAAATCCCCTTTTGGCTATGGAAATTCAATGGGGAGTGGAGGCACTAGTTAAATACAGTATTTCACCTTGAGAGCTCTATTAGGATTGCTATAAGCCATACAGTATTTCACTTGAAGGCACATAATGTAACATAGTGGTTTACAGAATTTGGACAAGTTACTACAAGTACACTTCCCATCATCCTCCACCCAACATAAGTAGAAGATTATGGATGTTTTTTATCCAAAGAAAGTAAGTTTTCAACTTCTAGTTCCTGTGTGTCTATTTGTTTTCCACCAGCAGGTGGGTAAGGGTAAGAAATTTATTTTTCCGCACAGCCCATTTTCAAGATCTGAATTGCAAACACATTGGATCTGAGAGCTTTTGCTCACAGAGAAAAATACACAGACTGTGCAGAATTAATACAAGCTTTAAATTAGGAGGAAAATGGTTGTTGTGGGTTTTTCGGGCTCTTTGGCCGTGTTCTAAAGGTTGTTCTTCCTGACGTTACACCACTCTCTGTAGTCGCCATCTTCACAGGACTGGAGCAGGAACTCTGTCCATGCTCAACAGAGAATGGGCAGAGTTCCTAATCCAGTCCTCTGAAGATGCCTTTGCGAATACATAGGAGGAAAATGTTGTTTGTTTATTTTAATAAGTTAACCCAGAAAGGTAAAATATTATCAGCACACAGAAAATGACTTTATGCACCAGTCCAGCTCTCCAGAAATGGACAGTGAACAGAAATGTTGCTAAGCAAAACCAATCATGAGCAAACTAGCTCTAGTGAGTTAGATAATTCGTATAGTACTATTTATAACACTTTTCACGGTGTGTTCCATGGGTTGTACTCCCTAGCTAGTGTGTTTGGGATTGGGGCTTTACACAGTGCTGACACAAACTCCCCCCCCCATCTGATAGAAATGCTGTTAGCAACACATGGGGGGAAATGCACATGGCGATACATGGGGGGAGGAAGGGGAGAGGAGGACAGTGGTGGCAACTTTTGGAGAGGTACCTTCTTTCTCCTAGATGCCACTAGGCTGACTCCATGACATGGACCATTTCAGGGATTGTTGCGTGAATGAAGGCTAGCACCAGGTGGTCCCAGGGCCAAGGATTGAGGGATACCCGTTTCCAGTTTGTCTGCTTGTAGTGGCAACCAGATAAAGTAGTGGTCAGTGGGTAGGAGTGGCAGCTTTGCTTCCACCAGTGCCCTCCTGCCACCATCAGCATCCCACTGTTTTGAGAAGGCTGCTAGGTACAAAACTGATGGTTACTGGTTTTCGTGACTGCAACATTACCATTGCAGTGACATTCCCAGAGGGGAAACTGGGTTATTCTGTCACAGCAAACACAGTAAAGAGTCTTCCTTGTGGTGCCTTAATGGACCAGCAAGTTTTATTGGGAATCTTTTGTTCGTTTTTCCCCCCAAAATTGGTTTAAATGACTTGTGGTGTTGTTTAGTTCTATGTTAGTTTGACTGTTTGTAGAAAGGTAGACTGTTGGTGGCATCAAATAAGTAAATGGTGTATGTTAGTTGCTTATCTAATCAACATGGCACGACCCACCCACATGAGGGAAGAACTGACAGCTCTTGATGGTTGCAGAATGATGAGGAAGGACCTTCAGTTGGAAACCCCCCAGAAACTCCCCAAAGAATTCAGTGAAACCTGAAACTGTCAGCTGTGACATGCTGACTGATTGTTGGGACAAGAGAGGAAAATGGAGTGGAAGAGGAATGGAGTAGAGTGTTATAAAGGAGGATGTGCCTGGCTGGCTGGAACAGTGAATAAATACACTGCAACATTTTTTTTGTAGGTTCCACTTTTCTTTTTAAAAACATCTTTTGTGGGAAGCTAATTATTTCCTGGTCGTCTGAGGTCTTACAGATAGCTTCCACATAGCCTGGTCACAGCAGTGTGTTGCAGAGGTGTTTGTGGGATTGAAACTGGAAAGATACACTTTAAAAGGGTCTAATGCAATTCTCA